AGAATTAAAACATTCTTTCACTAAATAAAAGCTGAACTCATAAACTACTAGACTTATACCAGATTACGATAAAAGCCTCTAACGATGATATAACCGCAAACGACTTTTGTCACGTGCTTCGAAATTTTTATGAAATGAAATTTTTTGCCGCGTTAAAAAAGATAAATTGTTTCCATATAGTGTGAATTCTACTTAGTATGCATGACCTTTCAATATTTTTTCATGGCATCATTTTCACTTAGCTCGGGTAAATTACAAAAAGGTTCGCATTTATTATGTATAGTCACGAAACAGAATTTGTAACAGAGTAGCATTAAACAAATTGAAGCAATTATTTAGAATGGCGTTTTATGAACCCTATTGATTCACGCCACCATATATTATTCCTTGGAAGTTAGGTATTAAACTTGATGTAACTTTAAGATAAAATAATTACGTTGTTTTATCGATATAATTCTGATTTAATATACATAGATTTTATCTTAATTTTGAGTAAGTCAACACTTTGGTGTATAAGATAGGCAAATAATTACTTAGTTACACAGATGATACCTATTGTGCGCCAGTTCATTTTTGAGTTACAAGGCCACATGTTTTGTTATATTTTTCAATAAACATAATACAGTAATGTCTCTACTTTACGTGATAGGTGAAATTGAGTGACAGCCGAATAAGTTGAATTCATATAAGTCAGGGTATTATACTCATAAAGGAATATATAAATTATTTTTAGCTGAAGTCGAAGACGAAAGAAAATAATAATTTATAAAAAAAAATGTTTAACAAACACTTAGATAACAGAAATACAAAATTACAAATCGAAGCTATTTTGATGTAGAACCGTGGTCTTCAAACTTTTTAAACTTACGGAACACTTAGAACTAGAAAGTGTTAACATGGGACTCCATTCCATATACATAATTAGAAATATATACCTAAAAATAATACTAAATTAACATGTTATAGATACTTTAAGTAAAGACAATTTTTAAAAAAAGTATTGCATTTATTTTTTAAATAAAATTGACGCATTAATATTGTTAATTTGTCATCCAAGAGTCGCCTACTCATTGAATTATATTTAGTAACTGGGATATGTGATTGCTTTTTTTCACAAAAAATGTCAGTTTAAAAATTTTGAAATGAACTGCAATCGCATTACATGCTCAGAATTTAATTTGTTCTTGTATTTTGTTTTTTAGCCACTCACGTTATGAAATATACTTCCCTTACACACAATGTTCTGAAAGGTATTAAATTCGTTATAGCTGTGGGAAAAATACTGTAGCATTTTTTGCATGAATTTGCAACCTAAAATTTAGGAGTTGTTCTTGCTTAAATTTAGATTTTAACAATGAATCTGTTGATAAGTTTTTTTGTTTCTGTTATAGGTTTTGTTTTCCATAAATGCAAAAAGGTGCGTTTTCCATTAGAAAACTATTTAGTTTTGAAAGACATTGCGCTAACGAACAAGTAAAAAAAAATTGAATATTCGCTATCTAGAAATAAATATATATAAAGACAAAAAAAGTTTTAATATTTTTATTATATTATAATAAAAGTTTAAAAAGTGTTGCAAAATCAAGTTATTATACAGTAGAGAGAACGTCATTTATCCGAAAGTTTACTATTCGGAAAGTCAAATATCCGATCCAAAGTCCGGATACGTTTTCGAACAGTGCAATGCTCAACAGTTGTTTCGTGTGAGGCCAAAAGTGACGGGAAAACTCAAGGTGAGGGACGTTTAGGGAATTTCAGTTGTGTGATTTGGTAAACATCTGCGCGGAATATTAGGTCAGTTTGTTTCCAAGTGAGGGGGTAAATATGTGCTCTTTTGTTGAGTTGTGTTGATGTAGAATGACACTCGATGACATGCGATGCAGAAGACTGTGGATTTCAAATGCTAAAGGATGACGAGATTGTGACTTCGGTGCAAGAAGAATCCGACCCTGTCGAAGATGAACTGGATGAAGACAACAACAACGAAAGTAGCAAAGTTCCATCAAATGCCAACGCGTTTTTCTGCGTTAGAGACAGCTATGGAGGGGTACGAACAACAATCACAGTGCTGTCTTACTCAACTACTGCTGCTGAAGAGAATCAGAGACCTTGCAGTAGAAAAACAAAGGTACACAATGGTACAGCGAAAAATAAGTAATTATTTTCCACGATCAAGGTAAAATTGCGACATTTTGCTCCTATTTTGCTTTTTCTTCAAACACGTTTCCCGCATGTGATGATTTTCAATATTTGTATAGTGTCCAGTATCATAATCTGCATGGATCGCATTCGGTTGTCGGTAATCCGAACAATCGCGTATCCGAACGGTGTCCGGTACCAAATAATTAGGATAAACGACGTTCTACTGTATATGAATAAAATTATTAGTTTTAATTAAAAGAATGAGTTTTAGATACTTCTAAGTATACAGACTTCATACAAAATGTGAATCCATCTTGCATACACATTTATAATTTTCTTTTTAATTTTTTTATTGTGGAACCCCTGGGTATGCCTTGTGGAACCCTTGGGTATGCCTTGTGGAACTCCTGGGTTTGCCTTGTGGAACCCTTGGGTTTGCCTTGTGGAGCCCCTGGGTTCCATGGAATACAGTTTAAAAACCACTGATGTAGAAGTCTTCATTAAGTCTAAGAAAGTAGTGCGTTGGCTAAAAGATTTTTTCTCTCGCAAAACTTCCTCCTAACATACTAATATATTGGGTTGTTCGGAAAGTAATTTCGTTTTTTTGTGTGGAAATGAAAGACAGTTTTCGTATAATAAACAAATACTTTATTGAATTATATATTGGCCATTCTGGTCCAACACCTTTTGCCATCTTTCTGGTAGTAGCATAATTCCACGTTCATAAAATTTTTGGTCTTTGCTGGCAAAAAACTGATCGAGGTGGTTATTGACCTCCTCATTTGAGGTGAAGGTTTTACCGTCTAAAAATTTTTGGAGCGACCAGAACAAATAATAATCCGATGGTGCCAGGTCTGGAGAATATGGTGGGTGTGGCATTGTATCCCATTCAAGCTGTAAAAGCTTTTGGCGAGTGACCAAACTTGTGTGAGGTCTCGCATTGTCTTGGTGAAACACTACACCTTTCCTGTTGATTAGTTTTGACCTTTTCTGTTGAAGTGCATCATTCAGTCTGTCCAGCTGATGACAGTAGACTTCCGAATTAATCGTTGTGTTATCCGGTAAAAGCTAAAAAAAAAACAACGATTCCTTTAAAATCCAACCAAACAGACAGAATCACCTTTTTTTGGTGAATATCGGCTTTGGAAATGGTTTGAGCCGGTTCATCTTTTTTTTGCTCCATGACCTCTTGCGTTTGACGTTGTTGTATACAACACATTTTTCGTCCCCAGTGATGATGCGCTTCAAAAATGGATCATTTTCGTGACATTTGAGAAGCGATTCGCAGATGTCAATGCGGCGACACAGATTTCTCTCTGTGAGAACATGGGGAACCCATACATCGAGCTTCGAGGATAATCCCAGGCCTTTCAAGTGGTCATAAACTGTTGAATTTGATAAATTTAACCTCAATCCGATCTCACGTGTTGTTATTCGCCGGTTCGCATCAACTAATGCCTTTATCGCGTCTTTATTAGCTTCAACCGGCCTTCCCGAACGTGGTGCATCTTCGACATCAAAATTGCCGGATCGAAATTTAGCGAACCAGTTCTAGCACTGGCGTACTGTCATCACATCTTCTCTACACACATCGGTCAATTTCTTTCTGGCTTGAACAGCATTTTTACCCTTTCTGTAGTAAAACAGTAAGATATATGTCGAAAATGCTGCTTATCGCTCTCCATATTTAAAAGGGCACCAACCAAAAACTACTGCGTAGAATTAATTGGAATTTTTCACACACAAGCCTTGCTATATGAGCTCTCAAAGCATATAAAAAGTATACGGCTTAAATGTGAAGTTGGGTGCAAAAAAATACAATTAAATCCTCTGTCGGGAAAAAACGAAATTACTTTCCTAACAACCCCATTCATTGTTTGTTGAAAAATTACACTTTTCGATGGAATCTGTATTTTTTAAAAAAATTCATACCCTTTTACAATTAAACTGAGGCCTTCTGTCAAATTTCCAAACCATCAATCGATCTTCTTATTGCACTGGGTCTAAAGACTCGAGTTCTTCAAACTCTTGCTCTTCCTCGTGCCTTTTTATGAGCTCGTCAATTACCAGCTCAAGAATATGATAATTCAGTAATTCTTGAACGTCATGACTATCCACTTTTAAGGTTATTTACCTGGCAAGTTCGGCAACTTCTTCAATCACATTACCAATTTCATCAGGTACCGGCACTGATTTTACCAGAGTTTCAGTGACGAGAAATAAAAAAAAAAACGATGAATCGACGAGATCTGAAAATCGCGTATCCTGATTCATATATATAGGGGTGGCGTAATTCGAGGCATTAATGCATATAAATAAATTATTTGTGTATTAAAAACTGAAACAAAGGCAAATTTATATATTTTTTTCAATTTAAAAAATAGCATTTTGTATAGATTAGTTACGAACTCTCACCCGCGGAGGTGTGAGGATGTAGAGATGAAGGATGAGGATGAAGAGACATTTTGAAAAAAGAAACACTTCTCTTATTATGGCTATCAATTCACTATCTGAACTCTTCATAAGCTAGGAGAGCCTTTAGATTAGTTTCTAATTTAAATATCTATAAAAACAAGTATTATAAAAAAAATTAAGTCAATTCCTACTTGGGTCAACAAATAAAAGTTTTATTTTTGGTACTTTTTATTAAATAGTTACAATTCATATAGATGTAACATATGACCGAATCACAATATTAAGTCACAAAATAGAAAGTGATTTTTCTCGCAATTTTCCATTCTTCTTTCTATATTTCGTGTTGACCTATTTTTTGTTTGTTACTGTTTATTCGAAAATTTAATTTAATTTTTCCAATAAAATAGTATACTAAAAATGCAATCACATTCTCAAAAATGAGCTTATCCCAGATGGGATTCTAACCCTCGACCTTTGGATTAAAAGTCCAATGAGCTACTCATTGCACTCTGGGACACTACTAACGATATCCCTTTCTACGTATACTGTTGGACTATTATAATTGTTTGTTACTATTTATTCATTTTTTAGTTTAATTAATGAATTAACATTGAAAAAATCTGTATTAACATCAAGTGCAAACACTACAAGTTTAAAAAATGTATTTGAACTTTAATGGATGAATAAAAAATCAATTGAAAATTTGAAAAAGATATATATATATATATATAAAAAGATTATATATATATAATCAAAATTTCTCTACAAGAGAGAGATAAATAAGCATGATTAAATAGAAAAGAATTGAAATTGCAAGATAACCAGACAACGGAATTTTAAAGTAAATATGAAAAGATAAAATGATAGAGTTAAATATAAAAAATATAAAAGAATGGATGCAACAGTATTATCAACATTGCTGACTTAGGACAGCTTATATATAAAAACAATTTGATATAAAAGTGGGATTGAACATGTTTTGTGGCCAGTAAGAGTAAGTAATAGTAACAATATGGAAGTAAATTTTCTTGATATAGAAATTAATTTACAAGATAATAAAATAGTTACTAATATTTATGATAAACGAGAAGACGTTAATTTCAATATTATAAAAGTACCACATTGGGAGAGTAATTTGCATGTTTCTATATTCAGAAATTCTGTTATTAATTACACACAACGCAATAAATTTCTAGTTTCCAATAAATCAGAAAGAAAAAAAAACTATAAATATTTTACTAAATACTGTTTAATTCAAAAATACCCAATTAATTTTATTAATATATATTTGAATAATGAAATTCTAAATAGTAAGGATTAAATTTCCATAGTTTTTATAAACAGATTATTTTTATAAATTTATTATTCTTCCTAGAGAGTTATAGATACCCCCAATTTCCAATTTTAAATAAAATTATTTTTTTTAATTTAATTTAATTTTTTATATTTTTAAATCATATAATTTTATTGTCCCTAAGATAATGGTAGTATGTGTACAATTCTTAATTTATATTATTTCTATTCCCTTTCATACTTTTGCTAAGTGCTACTTTTCAGCCATTGCTTTGCTTTGAATATGTATTTGGGTCCAGAATCTGCCAAACAATCTCTTGTTTGTTGTACTCATATTTTGCGCGGGCTCTGCGTTTCTGTATGCAATTTTAGGTAAGTTACCTTTTTCTCATAATGGATTTAGATTTCCTATCCATTATTTTCAATAGGTGTTTGCTCTGTATTATTAACAGAAAGGGGGAAGGTTGGCTGGCCATAAAACATGTTCAACTCCACTTTTATATCAAAATTTTTTATATATAAGCTGTCCTAAGTCAGCAATGTTGATAATACTGTAGCATCCATTATTTTTATCATTTTAATTTTTGACTCTATTATTTTAATTTAACATATTTCCTTTAAAATTCTGTTGTCTGGTTATCTTGCAATTTCACTTCTTTTCAGTTTTAATCATGTTTATTCATCTCACTCTTGTAGAGAAATTTTGATTATATATTCTCACATGTTATGTGGCTGCATTGCGCCTATATGTGTTTGAATTTTTATAAATGGAATTCTGGTCTTTTATAGATCTTGCTATTCTGTAGCTTATATATATATATAGGGAGAAAGGAGTAAACTAATAGTAGGAATTGAAAAAATTTAATACTTATAGTGAACCCTAGATCCTCAACAATTCAACAATACGAATCTCCTAAACTGACCCTGGATAAATTTTCTTGAATCTCGGTTAATGTCATCTATTGCTTCTCTAACTCCACGGATTTAGTATGATAACAGGAACCAACCTCTGTACAACTTCCCTTTTAGTTTAAATTTAAATAGCAACTCTCATTAAGATATAAATTGCGGTTAATGGACGGAAAGCAGTTTTCGAATCATATAACGTTCTCGAAAAAATATTTTCTCTAGCGGATTAGAAAAGATCATGAATACAACCCATTATAAATTAATGAAACTTCTGGAAAAATTATGTGGAAATATAGAGAGGGGAGGAGTGCGAGCTTTAGTGTCGACTTCGGCACTTGACAATGGCTCAAATAACAAGATCCGCTGCCAATAGTCATCTTGTTGCTTTATAATGCTACGTTAAGTTATCCGACTACTTTCAGAACCGTGATTTAAAAAAAGCGTATAAATGGATAATTGCCATATTTAGAGTTACTTGGTTTATAGAATACATTTGTAAAATTGGTTTAAGTATATTATAGAATAAAAAATTATTTAAATGCAATATTTTGGCAAAAAATGAGCTTAGAATTACCTGTTTTCAAAACATTCTCCTTCGAAGAAAAATGCTTTTATAATAATAATATTTTGCTTAGCAAAGATTTCTACAGAGAGTCTGAACTAAGATTTTTGAAAAATTCACATTGTTTTCAGAGTTACTACCAATTGAAATAATTATCTGTGTTTTTTTCTTAAAACTTCTCCATTCTGTTGTATTAAAATATGGATTAATCCATTTCTAAGGTATATATTTAAAAAATCCTGGTTTAGGCTCTGTACAGAGATCTGAGCTATATAAGCAAAATATTATTATTATAGAAGCATTTTCATAAAATGAGAATTTTTTTGAAAATAGATAATCCTATGTTCATTTTAGCTAAAATGTTGCATTTAAATAATGTTTTACTGTAATAATATTCTTAAAACAATTTATTACATGCATTCTAATCTACGCGACACCAAATATCATAAAAATTATCCAGTTAGAGTCATTTGAAAAATAACAGTTCCGAACGTAGTCGGATACCTTAATATAAATCAAATTTCTTTCTTATAGATTAATAGAAGAGTAATTGAACAGAAGTTAGATCGAAAGCAGGTGTTGATTACATGGTTTCCCTGGTATTTGCAAAGTTTTTTTGAGGACTAGATTACTCTGTTCACATCCTTAATATGCAAGGGTTAAATTTGAACAATTTTTGTTGCTTCGATCTCTTTCTTGCAATGACAAAATATAACAAGTTATAAAAAAATTAATCTTTAAAACAATTTGCTGTATCATATTGTGGTTGACATAATATGTATCAGGGGTATTCAGGGAAATTAAAACTAACGAACTATCATAAACACGATCATATTGGATTGGAATATAATTTTTTCGTTAATATCGAACTTTGAAGCTGTGCGAAAGCTATCGGTGATAGGTCAAGTGGCATGAATGCTACCTGAGTATCCCGTTCCCCGAACATCCACACCACGTAAGGAATTTAACCTTCTAATGGACGGGTGACCCCATTCATTAGTGTTTGGGAGTTAAAATAAAGTTCAGCCATAGTCAGAACAATTCTAATTTAACATTCCTTTCTAAATATCTACAACTCAATGTAGGAAATGCACCTTTAATTAAGTTTAGGAAAAAAAGCAAGGTAGAAGATATATTTAATAATTGCTAAGATTCAATCAACTTATGCTTAGCACTCTTTGATTTCTTACGGTCTGAATTACCGTAATTCCTTTCTCAGCAATTTGACCTCTGGTCCATATTATTCAATTATAATTTATTGGCTCAAATGTCGATTATAAATCTTTAAAAATTAAGCAATTAAACGTCGAACCGCTCTCGACTAGCTTTCCATTACTTTGCGCTAATCATTAATTTCTATCATCTAAATTTTAACCTCTCTCTCTCTCTTTCTCGAGCCTAAAAGTTAACGCTAAAATATAAGTCTTCATTTACTTAAACCACGTCTTCTTCATCGGAAGAAAGTTTTTAATACAACACCATTTAAAGAAATAATTTTCCCAAGAGGATTAGCAGGAGGCTCACTGATAGACCCGTTACAACCTCGACAGATTTAAATTACATCAGTCTCCTATGCGTTGAATCTTCAAAGATTATTTGTTGAACTCCAGGATAAGAGCGCCAACCATAAGTTTGTGATCCCAACTGCGCTTCGTAAACGCGTCCAAATGATTATAAAAAAATGAGAAAAAATCAAATTCATCACAAAATAAGACTAAAGGATTCTATATATACAAAGGGGTGATCAAATGAAAAGGTACGAAACGACATAAAAATGAAACAGTTAAATATTTGCATATTCCGCCAAGGGAGAATGTAGCGAGACATCTCGGGATGCCATTGGAGACTCTGACTGGGATCGGATCATGCGCGGGTGCCCGCATGCGCAGGAGAGAGCAAAGGCTCTTATAAAAAGCGGCGTCCAAATGATGCGAGCACCGAATTACTCGAACACTGAAAAAGCATTAACTCCGATGTGTACTGTGAGACACTCCGACGCCTACGCAGGTCCATCAAGAACAAAAGACCGGGGCTGCTCACGGAGAGTGTGGTTCTGCTCCATGATAACGCGCGTACACACGTCTCCAGAGTCACACAAATGGAACTGGACAAGTTCCAATGGGAGACGTTGGACCATCCGTCCTACAGTCCAGACATGTCACCCTGTGATTTCCATGTGTTTGGTCCACTGAAGAAACACCTGAAAGGAAAGCGCTTCAACTCGGACGACGTACTCAAGGACACTGTGAAGGACTGGGTCTCGTCACAGCCACAGGAATTTTGGGAACAAGGAATCCTGCGGCTTGTTCATCAGTGGGATCGTTGTGCTCAGGCCTATGGTGTATATTTTGAATAAAGTCTATATTTGTACCCACCGTGTCGTTTCGTACCTTTTCATTTGATCACCACTTGTATATGTTACACATTTACTAAATTATCGATTTTATTCTTAAAAGCTTATAAAACAACCGTTTATTTTTTTTTCTTTTAAAAGCATATCATGTTCTTCAAAATAACAAATAAATAAAAAGCGAAATATATTTCAAACTTGGTTTCTTGCATAATAAAATATGATAGCTCTCACACGACAACAAATTTCAATTTTATTCATTTCGCCTCTGACTTGAAATAAGCAAATGTACTCTCGAAGCAGACAAAATGAATTGAAGAAAGAAAAGCAAAAGTTCTAAATGTTAAGCTCTAGTTAGAAAAGAAAAAAAAAAGAATTCCAAGGCAAATATTCTTGCATCTAA